ACATAATGATCCTACAAAAGATTACTGCGGCCCCGGAGATGGTGGGATGATGGGATTTGGATACGTTGGACTGAGTTCCTGTAACCGAGCTCGGTTAACCAGTTACATCACGTAAATATTTTAACTTTTTTTTTAAAGCGAGTTACTTTATTTGCATACTGAAGATCTCAATGTAAGATCAATTTGAGATTCACGGAAACTGTTTGCATTTAAAATTGTAAGCAGTGCTGTACCGTAGATGCAGAAAATAATTATTAAATCGCCATTTTCCAGATGAATTGGAAAATGAACGATATATTCACATTGTAAAATTAGATGACTAATATTTTATGGCGAAACGAATAGGGTCAAAATATTGTTCACCAGAAAATGTAGTAAAAAAATCTGGACCTCAATATAGCACTCGGTCTCATCAGTTACATCAAACAAACCATCAAAAAGCTTTTCTTGTATTTAGCGGGAGGTGGGGTGTGGGGGAATGGGGGGGGGACCCCCGACAAGATCTGCCTCTGTTGATAATGGTCCAAATTGGTCTCCGTCATCATTAGTTTTCTGTCTTATATGTGGAAAATATTGGAAATAACGTCAATATGTATAGTCAAGGTTTAAATTATGGGATTCTGTGGATATGTTTTTTAAGTTTCAAATTAAAGTAGATATGGGAGAACAAAAGTTACCAGTTTAATTTGGGTACAAAATAAAAGTATCGATATAATTTAGTATCAGTCAACATATAAAATTTTGTCCCGCAGATAGAGCTATCGTTAAGAAATAACGTATGATGTGTTCAGCAGCATCATGATTAAAATTAGTTGCATTATACTGGTGAAAAGTCAACTGTGTAAAATGGAACTGACATTTGAAAGCAAAAATGTAACCGTATGATCAATATACATGTATTACTGTGAAATGTTCTAATTTTTGTTGTTTATTCTCTTTATAGAAAAAGTCCCAAATATGATTGTTTATTTGAAGAAAATGTTGATAACCCTCCAGTTGATATTGCTTTAGATACAGCATATTCAGGTTTATATTTTAAAAATATCAATATCTCTTGACACACCAGTATATTATTTAATTTCACGGCTTCTGTTAGGCGCGATATTACAACCGATTTAAATAGAATTAAACTGGATTTTAATGGACTGTTTTGCTACTGAGTCAATTAGGTTTTCTTCTTGGAATCGAACATTTGAAACTATTAATGTTATCCTGCATTTTGTGCGGAATAGAATGGACGAGGTTAATGGACCGTCAACACACTATTTCGGCTATTCACAGATTCGGTGTTTTAAATATCATTTCTACGGTTATGTACGCAACGCGAGGGAGACATTATTTTGCGGACAGAACATTTCAACTCATTCCATCTACCAGAAGTACTTTTAGTGCACGCCAAAGTGCACATCGACGCAAACTCGTTTTTGGCTCAATGCAAAAAACGAGGCATGCTTTACTTGAGAAGTGAGAAAGTTGACAAAGGTAATTTTGTCCCAATAAATCATATAGTTGAGGGGCATGACTATATTACTGATAATATTATTGTATACTAATGTATTGATGTAATGCAGTGAGGAAACCTTGGTCTGATTTAATAATTATTATAATTGCATTATTGTGTATTACATTTTTAGCACAGAATACACTCCCTGATGATCTGTGCGCCACGACTTATGGAGCTGATTATTTTTACAGACCTCCGGCCACAGTATGCTCTTAATTTATTTTAACGTTAAACATACATTATGCAAGAGCCTAATCTGCCTATTGCGGGTCTTTCTTTAGGCCTGAAATGTTTTCTAAATTATTAATTAGACATTAATTAACTTATCCAGGCCATAATCAACTCTTGATGGTATCGGATTTCGCCGATATTAAATAGATTAGAACAGTTCAGCCATATTTTGATTTAAGCTAAAAATTGAAGAGTGAGACTTAGCTTCGAACAACCAGTACGGTGGTTGAAATTATTGCACACGTCTTGTCAAATCTTCAAAGGCTAATATCGTCGCTCGCAATAGATTAATTTGAAGGAAATTTTCAAATTATTCATTTTACAGTATCCATTTTAGAACTATTATAGCACGAATGGCTAGCTCTTTATCTAAATCTTACATAATGTATCTTTAAATAATGGCGATTCGTTATATGATATCATATTCAAAATAATACTCAATGCGGCTGGTTTGCATAGAGCAAATAACTGTACATGAACCGTTAGGGAAATCTTTGACAAAAACTATGCGTATAGTGTGTCCCTTTTGCACATATTAATGGAGCTAAACCTCGAACGCAATTTTTTTCCATAATATTCTAAATTGAAAACAGGAATTAAAATTCAATTTTAATCAATATTGATGTTGTTATCTGGTCGTGAAAATATGGGATCCTAAAATCCAATGTTGAAGACACAATTAACAGTTATAATCAGTACTAGAGTCATATATTCTTTGGTTTAGGATGCCATTTGTAATGAACAAAGCAAAATGCTGAATCAAAAACGACAAAATAATAATACAAAAACGTGTAGAATGGACTAAGCAGGCATAAACTAGAACCGTTCAATTTGAACTGTTTCTGCATTTCACCGAACATAATTGATTAAAAATTACAATATAAATCACTTTACGTACATTCATATTACTTTAATATGTGCATTTAGAATCATTTTCGTCTGTTTCCAGGTTCCATAAAATAGAGCCATATGCCCTTTAAATTAACCAGAAAATAATTGCGATTATTTTTATGATATCATATTCAAAATAGGCCTAATACTAGACTCACCAACTCGCTGCAGCTGGTTTAACTATAGAGCAATTAATTTTCCACGAATTTTATGGAATTCTTTGAAAACCACCGTGCATGTAGTGCGTCCCTCTTGCACATATTAAAGGAGCTAGACCCGTAACTCAATATTTTCCATAAATTAAAAACACGAGTAAGAATTCAATATTGGTCAATTTTAATCAATATTGATGTTGTTATCTTGTCGTTTAAATATAATTGAATAGAAGTTACAATAAAAAATGAAAAAGAAAATGAATATATAAATCACCTTATACATGTATACATTCTTTATTGCATTAATGATATCTGCTTTTAAACCCATTTGAGTCTATTTTAAGGTTAGAAAAGAGCCATAGGCCCTTTAACGATGCATTTTTAAGAGCTAAATCTGTAGTTGCAAGGTTTTATTTTAGTTTTAAATGCTATAAATTATTATTTAGACATTTATTCTCATGACAAGTCTGTAATCTACTCCCTAGACCATCGGATGACGCAGATGTAAACAGATTAAAATACAATCGCCTTTTCATGATTTAATGCAAAAAATGGAGAAACGAGGCTGTGTCTCGATTAACAAGTAACGTTGCAAGTAAGCAAACACCAAACACTGATAACGTCGCTCAGAATACAGTAATTTGAATGAAACGTTCAATACATGTATATGTATTTTGAATTATCTATTTTGAAACTATTATAGCTAGAATGACCAGCCATGTGTATGGCATGCGAACTGAACTTAAAACGTTGAGTTGAGCTGTGTTGACTCTACATTAAGAATTTTGTTTGCGCAGGTGTGTGGTGGTTTTACTTGTGACAATCTTGGAGATGGACCTTTATTTGGTATTACTAAATCTTCATCTCCTCCTCCTCGGGGTATTTCCTGTGGCGATAGAAAAGTAAGATTTATTATTATCTTGTAAATACAACACCCATACATTTAAATCAAAAAGTGCATTACACGTATCTTGTTTTTTATCAGCCATTTGGGGGTGGGGGGGTTGGATGGCTGAATGGTTAGCGTGCGCGCGCTGTATCATGAAGTCTGTCATTGAGTCGACTGGCGTGGTTTCCAATCCCCGGTTGTACGTGGCAAGGAGTTGGGTCGCCTGTTCAACCTCGTGGGTTTTCTCCGGGTCCTCCGGTTTCCTCCCACTGCTAAAGACCCCTACGCGCAAGCGAATTATGTAAATAAAATTAAACCATATGTTAGTCCCGAAATGACCTAGTTTGTGTCGAGTGGACGTTAAACCCCATTTCTCTCTCTCTCTTATCAGCCATTGGCCATAACTTAAAATGTAAATAATGTTTTGATGCTGGAATTGTCTTTTGGTCTCAGGCGGGCAGTTGAGATAAACGTTTCCCGAGTACAATAATTGAAGTCATTTGGAGACTAACATAATATTGTAATTGGCATTTCTGTGGTTACGTGTGTCATGCGACGGGGTCGGGGGATTTTCACCGGACAGTGCCAGTGCGTGTACATGTGGACCCGGTTTTTTCTCCAATGAGAAGGACAAGACACGCTTTTCATGTCAGACCGGTATTGTGTTCTTTCATTCTTGTGATCATTGCGCTGGACGTTCGGCTATACTTTCGAACACAAGTTATCTATGCAAGTCGTGCGTTCGTTTTTTTTTCTCCAATGAGAAGGACAAGACACGCTTTTCATGTCAGTCCGGTGTTGTATTCTTTCATTCTTGTGATCATTGCGCTGGACGTTCTGCTATACTTTCGAACACAAGTTATTTATGCAAGTACTTAACAATATATTGTGTTGCGTTACAAGAATTCGGTCCCCTCCCACTCCTAGAGTCTCCTGTGCGGAATTTAATTTTTAAACGAAAGAGACCTGTCCCGAATGACCTGGTTAACAACATGTGGATGCCAATCTTCTCTTTATAACGCTCATCCCCGGTTGTACGTGACAAGGAGTAGGATCGCCTGTCCAACCTCGTGGGTTTTCTCCGGGTCCTCCGGTTTCCTCCCACTGCTAAAGACCCCTATGCGCAAACGAATTATTGAAATAAAATTAAACCATATGTTAGTCCCGAAATGACCTAGTTTGTGTCGAGTGGACGTTAAACCCCATTTCTCTCTCTCTCTCTCTATAACGCTCCTATCATTTATAGTATATCATCATTACCCCTAGAGTAGGCAATTATCTTTGTGATGTTCCACCTAAACATAACAAGTTGTATTTATATCCAATTTAGATGTGTATACATAAAGATTGTGAATCTTGGGAAAATAGTGGTCGCAATGTAGAGGAATTAGAAGCAGCGGTTGTCGTTGGAGGGTGGTCTGATTGGGGAAGTTGGAGTGTATGTTCCCGAACCTGTGGCACCGGGGTTAAAATTGCAAGAAGAACGTGTAATAACCCGACGTAAGTAGGCTATAGACGCCCATAACTGCGTTTCAGTATATTAATTCTAAATTCCGTGATCATATCTAATATAACACATACAGTGTAGTGGTGTGATCATACCGAATATGACACTAAATAGCATCATTTTACCAATTATAACACCAAATAGTCTGATCATACCGAATATAACACTAAATGGTGTGATCATACCGAATATCACAATTTTCGGTATAGAACCACAGTGGCTAAGTGGGTAGGACGCTGGCTCGCTAGTCTGAAGGTCGCGTATTCGATCCCTGCATTGGCCGAGAAAGTTGTAGACTACCGAATACATCACTAAATGATATGGTTATAGAATATCGAATATTTGGACCGGGTCGCGCTGAATATTCTTTATGTGTATGGCATCTTGTAAAATACGGTTCCTTCAAAAGGGTTGTAAAAATTAAAGTGATTCATTTCAAAGTTGTTTGTAATACAACAAAAACAAACAAAAAAAACTACATGAAAATGGGCAGAAATATAACGGGGTTTAGTGTTTTACTTTTCTACACCGACAGGGGTAATTATGACGGGCAGTGAGATAGTAGAGAAATTTTGCCCGGACTGCGGCGCTTCCGCCTATTTTTTCAATACCAAGGATTCGCCAACGTTTACACGCGATCTGGCGCCTAGATATCGCTCCTGGTCAGGTCACTGACAAGATTGGAAAAACCGTGGAGCGTTCTCAACAAACACTTGGTTAGTGAGCCAGCCTCTTACCGAGTCAAATCACGTGAGTACCATTCATCACGGACATTATCAAATCAGGGCGACCTTCGGTTATAATATTTTCACGACTAGTGGTTGGAACTAGAAACCGAACGCGCATGGTCCGGATCATCGTCTGTTCAAATTAATTTTAGAGACGACAAAATTCCTTGTAACTTGACTTTACTTTTTGCATAGCGCAAATATTGCAATAATGCGTAATATTTAGACTTACATAGATTCAGACGTAACATACGAGACAAAAAATATCTGCTCATAGAAGTAGCAACCATTTAAAATTCATTCAAGCTTTCTTAAAATCATATACTTAACAAAATTAGATTCATTCTTTCTACATATTCTACACTTTCGTTTCATCGACACAGCCATCTTAGAACTATTCCGACCATGCCACACTAGCATAGTTCAGTATTTTCGGACTATGGTCCGGACTAAATAGTCAAGAAATCACGATAACCGAAGGTCACCCAGCCGTCTACTTGTAAGAATACTCATGTTGATTAATTACTCACTTTTTTTCTAGCCCTGTCAATTCGCCATTATGTGATGGTCTTACATTTAAAGCAGAATTATGCAGCCAAACGGTAGGCTTTATTTAGACAAATAGTCGGGTTTGAAATAGCTAACTATTCTAATGGGACGACTCCTTTACATTATCTCAGATTCTTCTGTTGATCAAAGATAGTGTGTTTGTGATCGTTCCGTCATCAGGAGGCCGGGGCCAGGGAAAATTGAAGCCGCAGTGTTATTGATCATGTCGCTGAAACCTTATTAACACCCCTCTTGAGATCATTTGGATAATTAGCTACATAACATGATGGGATTCTTTGGCTAATCACAAGAATAATCGCGAATTAATGCCTCTGTCAATAAACGTTTGCCCATGGTTGAGATTTGGTGATACACATGGAATAAAAACCAGAAGTAAATTGAAACGGCGTTTGTATTTAGTTGGTGGTGGAATTAGAATAGATTGCTTTGAATACTGTTGTACTTTTAACTAGCCATAGATTTAGACTATATGTCTTATCCCCTCTGGTATTAACTTCTATTTAATCCAATTAGATTTAGACAATATCTGTCACGATAATCCCTTTAATGTTAAATTCTACGCTATTTTAGCCATGTCCTGGTGACAGCCTTGCACTCCAGGACCAGCAAGTTATTAGAGCTTCAGAAGTTTGTAAGAAAAAGATTACTGATGGTTTGATAAGCGGGGATGTCTATTCTGGAATAGGTACATGGAAGCAGGGAGCATCACTTGGGGAGGATGAGGTATGCAAATTGCGATGTGCCATGGTGGAAGGTGGGTATGGAAAGGAAGATAAATCTTTGGGTATGATACCGTCTGGAACCCCATGTGACGAGGGATCGACTGAACTCAGAAACTCTTTTAGATGCGTCTATGGATATTGTTTGGTAAGTACGCACCTACTCAATATAACTTTGTTTTATGCTGTTGTATTCATCCATAAACCAGTTTTTGCGTCATTTGCGTCCAGGCTCAACGTCCTAAAGCGTACGTCTATAGCCACTGATGAATCAACGGTATATTTTATGCTTATAAGACTTGTGATGTGATGGTAAATATGTATCAAATCAAGTGACCGGATCCGAGAGCCACTGGGTATTACAGGATTCACGCAAAATGGGAAACAAAGCCAAAATAAAACAGTAACAAATAGCAATGAATACAAGAAAGACGTCATAGGAATTGGGATCGTATATTTTATGCTTCTAGGAATTTTGATGTGATGGTATATAATTATACGATTTTTGATGTGATGGTATATTTTATTTAGGAATTTTGATGTGATGGTATATTATATAGGAATTTGGTTGTGATTGTTTAGGAATTTTAATGTGATGGTATATTTTATTTAGGAATTTTAATGGGATGGTATATTTTATTTAGGAATTTTGATGTGATGGTATATTATATTGGAATTTTGATGTGAGGGTATATTTTATTTAGGAATTTTGATGTGATGGTATATTTTATTTAGGAATTCTGTTGTGATTTTATATTTTATAGGAATTTGGTTGTGATGGTATATTGGTAGCTGAAGGAGGAGCATATTATGATGAATGTGGTGTTTGTGGTGGAGATGGTACTACTTGTGATGCTGTTACTGGAAGTTTTACTGAACCGGGATCAAAAGGTAGTTTTTATAGATAAAGTACACAAAGAGTAAACTTTCTTAATGATTGGCTAATCCCAAAAAATGTATAAATATAATATCTATCAAATATGTAAAATTGGTTGACAACAACATTTTTCGTTTAAAACAAATATTGGTGAACAAACTATAATAACGTCAATGGTGTTTGATCACGTGACTGAAACGCCAGCATTACGACGATTTTAATTTGATTGGAAGGAAGGATATTATTACGAAAACAAATGTACAAAACTTCCTTAGCTGAGTTGTTGTAGGCTTAGGCCTACAGATGTTTTGGTCTAAAACTTGTGCTACTTAGAGAATGTCTTCAAGTTAACGTGTATGTGAATATTTCAGGTACCAGACTGACAATAAAGACTCTACCCGCTGGTGCCCATCATATAGTTTTTAAACACACAAGCTATACGAGTCAAAGATATACTTACTTGGGTAAGCATTTACTTTTTACAGATTTAAAATAAATAGTGACTAATGTAAACTTCAAATGATAGTTTCTGCCGTTAACATTGATAATGTTTTTTTTGATAGGTGTAGGGGTTTAATCTTTATATTGGACCCTTATCCTTTTATTACATTTTGTAGAAATATGGAGCAAAGATGACGTAGTTGCTATATCCAACAAAAAATTGGGAGATAAAGATACCGGGGATACGCCTATATTATTTGCCGGTGCTTACTGGAACTACCAGTTCCAAACTGGTTTCGATACTGAAGACGCCATTACCGAACCTATAATTATCAAGGTCAGTGACACTCGAACATATCAAATATCTCACTTATGAATTTTTAATATTAAAGGGGGTTGACCTTATCGCATATTCATCCGTTTGGTATAACTACTATTGTAATACTAGATTTTTTGAATATAATACAAAATATAATTTACTTTTGGGCGCAAAATGTTTCATTATTTTGAGAAAACAAGTAATAAATCAACGTTTTTCTATTATCTCTTTTGCACGAGTCTTATTTATATTTATCTAATCTGCTACTTATGTGATGTAAATGAGTACAGCTGTATTTTTGTGACTTGTAGAAAGAGACTAAGCCGACAAGTCGACGTTACGATAAAATTAAAATTGCGTCAATACCGTCGTGATGTCGTGTTGTCGCGTTATGAAAAGGGCGAGATTTAACATGGCCACTATCAGCCACCATACGTTAGAGAGCATCGTAGTCTGAACTTTCCGGTCACAATGTGCTTTGACTCATTCTTGACTTCTGCATGATTTTGAGAATTTTTTAGAGACGGTATTTTGTAAAGTTTCTTACGTAATAAAAAGTGAAGCATGACTTTTTGCTTACTTTAAAAATTTTCTAGGGACCGGGCCCTGTAAAGTGTATATTCTGATGTATTATATTTTTACAACCACCAGTAAAGTGTATATTCTGATGTATCATTATTTATAATCATCAGTAAAGTGCAGGCTATATGGAATATTCTGATGGCTCGTCATACATTTTATCAAGCATGCTCTTTGTTATTCATTAGTAATTGTTACCGATAAGTAATGTTTTATTGGGAAATATTGTCTTACTCTATAATATTATTATATCTTTGTAATCTGTAATAATAATAATGTTTTTTAAATGTGTATATGTTGTTTTATTAGCTGAATGTTAATGGGAAATATCCTAATAAAGAAATTGTGTACAGCTATGCTATTCCCACAGACAGTAAGTGTTTTCTGAACTAATCTTAATGTAAATGTATTTGGGTCCATACAATATTGTTCCAACACGCTTTGAAGATACTCTTTTGGGTGCATTGCACGACTGACTTTGCCACAAAGGATTGTATAATGGCTGTCCACATCTTACTAATGCGGCTAAGGAGTACATGTCAGAAACATGTTTTAAAGTATCTAGTACTAAACGACTGTTGTTGTGAATAGTTTTTCCACAAAAATGCTATTCCCACAGACAGTAAGTGTTTTCTGAACTAATCTTAATGTAAATGTATTTGGGTCCATACAATATTGTTCCAACACGCTTTGAAGATACTCTTTTGGGTGCATTGCACGACTGACTTTGCCACAAAGGATTGTATAATGGCTGTCCACATCTTACTAATGCGGCTAAGGATTACATGTCAGAAACATGTTTTAAAGTATCTAGTACTAAACGACTGTTGTTGTGAATAGTTTTTCCACAAAAATAGTTGTTCTAAATGTTGTTATCATGTCGTTTTACATAGTTTCCAGCTGTACCGGAAGTTGTTCTAATGGTGGAGTCTGGGATAATTGTGGTTGCACTTGCGCTGACGGTTTTTATGGTAAGTTTGCCACCGTTAATTTGTTTCTAAATAATAACGACTCTGATCTTTTGAAGCAAAGGCGTATCTCTTATTATTAAACTTTTTTTTATAATTTAAAGGCCCTACATGTGATAGTAAATGTGATACCATATGTCGTAATGGTCAGTCGTACGATGAAAGTACGTGTACGTGTACATGTGGAGAGAAAATGTACGGTGATGTATGTGAATGTAAAAATGCTTATAAAGGTAAACAGTGTTCTCTGTGTAAAATTGAGAGCTGTGATAACTGTGGCACATTTGATGAAGCTTCCTGTAGATGTAAATGTCCAGACGGTTATGGTGGATTGGGTTGTGCAGGTAAATTACTTGCTTATACTAATATAATAAGCACGGTAGACTTATTCACCGTAGACACATGAAATCTCTTAATTTTACTAAAAAGCCCTTGCAGTAGAAGATTTTAAGATTATGTGGAATCTCCTGAGTAAACATAGCAAGGTATGCGCATCTTTGTTGCCCTTTCAACTCTGTACTATTTATTCTAGATCAATGTGAAGATCTTGGTGTCGACTGTGACACTAGGTCACAAAATGGCGGCTGTGATGGTAGTCCTTCTATGGAAACAGAGTGTATGGCAACATGTGGACTCTGCAGTAAGTAAATAATGGATAAATGATGCTTAATGAAAGATTAATACACCACTCGCACAGTGGTAAATGGTATCTGTTGTTCTGAAAAGTCGAAGAATTTCCGTCTCGTGCACGACACCTATCATCACCTGTGAAATAAATGGGGCTTAATGTTCATCTTTTCTGTACCAACCGGGTAAATCAAGACAGGAATTCGCCATGCTGTGGGGACAATATTCCTCTTATTCTGGAATACCAACAGTCAAGGTTTCTTTAACATGCAACAGTAACAACGAAGCCGGATAACACCGTGGTACTTTCTCGGACAACACCGGGATCGAACACGGAATTCTTAGTGGTTAGCAAGCCAGCGCCCTACCACTGAGCCACCTGTCTAAATGGGATTATAACTAATCAAAGCGCCCATTTACAATTGGCCTATTGTGGAAATGAAATGAAATGGGGTTTAACGTCCTACTGTTCTGCTCCTATGCTGGACTAATGAAGACGGGCATACGCCATACAGTATGCTATGAGGGAAATTTTGCCCGGGCAGCGGAACTATCACCTACTTTTATATCGAATTCCAACTTCCCTGTCAGGCCCTCCGTCCTGCATCACTAACAAGCGGGAACCACGCTGGCCTATTGTGGCATATCCTTATACTTATATGGCATCACATAGCTAATATGATTTCTTTTTTTCCATTACAGCTCCATTGGAAAACCCGCCTTCTCCAGTATGTTAACCAGTACTGCAACAATTCGGATAAAATACTAAATTTAATAGTCTAAGAATATTACTAATTTGGTCTCCTCCTTTATTTAATATTATTTATGGTTGTTTTGTCTTGTATCTGTTTTGTCTCTAGACTCTGAATAAGCTAAGCACGATATCAGATTCTAGTATTATGTCTGATTTATTTATTTCATTATTTAAATTTCTAATAAGATAATGATCCTACTGGATATTTTATTATATAATATATTTTATCTTTACGTCTTGTTTTTTGTTATAACCAGATATTATTGTTTTGTTTTTGACATATAAATATATAAAACATATGGGTCGGTGAAAAGACAAGAGTTTGTAAAGAAACTTAATTGCAAGACAGGACCTTTAACATTAATCTGTTATGAACACGGGTATGATTGAATTATTATAAAATGACTCTGAATATTGAACTATCTCAATGCTAATAAAGAATTGTAAAAACTGCCTTTTATTTAATGGTCTTAATCCCACGGGGGTTTATTTTAAATGCGTGGTTATTACTCATGGATGTTTATTCTATTATTTCATGCATATAAATATATTATTTCATGCATATAAATATATTATTATTGCAGAAACATTACGTTAATGTGTTTTTATGTCCACTTTTAATGTGGATAAACACCTTTAATTTGGGTCAAAAAATAGAATTGTCGATATGATTTTTGTTTGGGTGTTGATTTGTAGTCTGGGATGACATTCTGTCTTTGCTGTTAGTCCGGATTATAATTGAGGGAGGTGCCACTTGGAGAGGTAGAAATTCTCATGTGGTTTTTCTAGACCAGTTTTTTTTATTCGGAACAAAAATATATGAGCTGAACAGGTTGTATGCTGAACCATTTTCCGTGAGGGTGTTTTTTTTTCAAAATGGCCGCCAAAATCTGTCATATAGTGACTATAGTGGGTTAAATAAGTAAGGGAGGGGAGGGGGTGGTCTACAGTGCCGCGCTTCGACCTCTAGCTGGCCGGTCACCCCTGGCTTGTGGTTGTGGTTTCGATCCCTGGTGTGAGCGCAAGTGGCTTGGAGATAGGGGCGCTTTCTCAACCTCGTGGGTTTACTCCGGGTACTCCGGTTACCTCCCACCGAAAAGACCCCTGCGCGTGCGCTAAGATAATAAAATAAAAAAAAGACTTGTCTTCGATATCACCTTCGGTGGAAGCGGACGTTAAACATTAAAAACAGCAAATAAATAAGTAACAATGATGCAGGCCAATGTGTAGACGAGAGTTTGACACGTGAACCCTTGACAGGTCATCCGTCCTGCAACACTAGTCTATTAGGGGGAACCACGCTGGAAAATCCAGATGAACTTGCTTGGCCAATACCTTGATCAAACACCACTCTCTATCCCTATAGGTTTGGGGAATTAGTTACAGGTGTTCCTATCAGGGTAAGCATTTCTATCACCGTATTACCTTTACCGGCCCAAATATAATTTTCAGTATTGCTTTTGTGAAATAACTGTTCCTTTCATTCTTATCGACTTCAGTTTAATTTTACATTTTAAAACAGAGTTGTTTCCCTTTGATTATTGTCTAACAAAAAGTAAAAAAAAAAGAAATTCTCAGCTGTGTGAACGCCCATGTGTGCCTAAAAGAGTAAACATACCCTGTCCAGTACACAATACCGGCACTATCAAAGCTTAAATATTATAAGCGTGTGAAACGACAATATTGTGAATAGCGAATCTCTAACAGCAAAATGCAATCTGGTTAAAATACAGATCTATATTTCGTTTCGTTTTATTATATTTTCGATGGCCTACACTACATGAAGATCTAACAAGTTATAGCGATAGGTCACGTCAGGGGTCAAAAGACCGACTTATGACCCTATGATGTCAGACATTTGATTAACCAATCAGCATTGATGTAAATAGTTTATTACCCATAGTTGCGTGCAAAACACGCCTAAAGCTCGCCGTGACAGACCGTTTCATTGGCTTATCCCTGACACCATTCACAACACGAGTTAAATAACAACTCTTCCAGATCCAAGTGTAGTAAAGACAAGTAAAACGAAATTTTGAACTATAAAAACGAAACGAAATAAGATCTGTGTTTTAATCAGATTGAGGAAAATGGTTCAATTCCTTTGAGTATTGCCCTGGTCTATGCTG